ATTTTAAATTGAATAAAAATGACAACTCATCATTATTCACACGCTTTGTGTTCCATGTCATTAGTTAAAAAAACGTAAGATTGATTTGTTGGCAATTTAACGTGTCAGCTGTCACTTCCGTCAACAAAAGAATCAATTTGATATCGAAAATGAAAGTTTATGAATAGTTTTAGTATTTTTTGAAGTTTAAAGACAATTTTAAATTAAAATAAAAAGTTGAGGGACCAAAATGGTTATTTGACTTAAAAAATGAAACTTCCAACATATCAAGAAATTAAAAAAAAAAAAATTAAGGGGGAACTGCCAAATCCAAAATTAAAGAAAAAAAAATTCTATAAATGAGACTAGAGTTGCTCCCGGACTCACAGCGAAGTTAGTCTTTAACTCCAGAAAATGTCTTATATCTTGCCGGTTTTTTACCCTGATATTCTTCTCAGCCTCCCGGTGAAGTCTCTCCTCCGATTCCGATGCCTTTCAAAATTGTTTTGTTCTCAGATCGACAGTCCCGACTTCGTCAAGATGCATCTCCAGAAATCAATTGCTACCGGAACCCGCCGCAACTTAGTCTTCTCTTGTCTCGAGGACCTCTACATTTCTGACTTCGACACTGGCCTCGTAGAAGCCACCAGGCTCAGTACCCCATTCTCAGCTCCAAACATGGAAACCACAATTTGTGGTTATTGCAATGGCATGATTCTCTCCACCGTGGGTCCTCTCCACGAGGTGAGACGTCGTCCTCTCGAACTTGTCCTTTGGAATCCATTCTGTCGGAAGTTGAAGAGGCTACCGGTTTGTCCAGCCACCACCACTCCCAATCATGTAACACGCAATTGCAGTCTGGGGTATGATTGGGTAACTGATGATTACAAGGTGGTGTTGATTTCGGACGTTTCCAACGTGACTTCGGAGGTGTGGGTTTTCAGTTTGAAATCAAATTCCTGGGACATGCGCCGAGTGCTTCCTCATGACAATGGTATTGACACATTTGGGAGTTACTCTAATGGTGCTCTGTACTGGGAGCTCACTGTGACGAAATCTTTTGAGATTTGTGGTTTTGATCTTGCAAATGAAGATTTCTTCGGCTTGCCAAATATCTGTTTGTCTGAAGATGGTCAGCTCCGGCGAGATTTCTCCTATTTGAAAATGGCGGTTTTGGATGGGTACGTTCACAGGCTTAAGTTACCCTTTTCGCCCCAAGTTCAAGAGTTTTACTTTTATGATACCAGAAATGGAGGCATAGGCGTGGGTGTTTGGAGGAAAGCATTCACGTTTGAGCAAGAAGAAGACGACTCTGCGTTGTCCTGTTGTCTGCCATTGGCATATTCAAAAGATGGGAATGCCGTTCTGTTTCGTGACGGACTAGACGAATTGTTTTGGTATAATTTGGAAATGAAAACAATACGCAAGGTGGATTTTCCGGCCATGCCTCAGAATACATGTTCAGGGAGCTTTGTTTGTTTGGAAACTCTTGTTTCTCCTTGTTACTTTGATGAGAAGAGGGATGTTGAGTTAGAACTTAGACTTGGCATTTAAACTCTAGTCCAATTGGTAAAAGTGCAGACATATCCTAAGTATTTGATTATTGAAGTGATTTAATTTCCTTTCTGTGTAATAATAATAATAATGAATTTGCTTTTCTTTTTCTTTTTCTTTTTTCCTTGAATTCTATGGTATGAAATAAATAAATTCTCAACCCATATCCATTAAAGAGAAAAAATAACTCAATTATTCCCATAACATCAACTTAACCCTCAAAACATAATAAACCTCATGCTGATAACCTCCATAAATAAGAAAGCATTTAGCTATACAAAATTTTCACCTTCTTCTTTGCTAGTAGCTCTCTCTCTCTCAATTAATTTCACACTTGTTTTCTGTGAGCATGATTGTTGTGTTAAGATCCACAAAGAGCCGAACATGCTTCAACCAATGTGCTACGTTGTTAAATGTCTCTCTTCTAAAAGATGAAAGGATAAAAGGGATTTGATATTATATTACAGCAGCTTACTGTAGCAGCCTAATTTGAATGATGTTCTCTTTTACCTTGCCGAAGCTTTGTTGGAAATCGTTTCCCTCTCATCATCACCTACCTGTAAACAATTTGGGGAAGTCTTTGTTTCTCTGGGAGACTCTGATACTTTTGAGGTTTGATTAAGCATCTCACGTACATTCTGTTGTTTTGGCTAGAAAGCATGCATTTTGTTTAAACATAACTTTCATTTACATGGGACGAATGCAACACATAATTTTATATGGTTATTTATCAACATGATATTCATGTGAATAAAATACTATAACTACAAATGCTCAATTTATATAATTATGTCAAATTGACAATAATGTTTAATGTTTAGCTCTACATTGAAAAAGATCAAATACATGTTTATTAAAACATTGGAGGAAACTAATACTAATTACTGTGTATTGCAAAACCGCAAAGATATTTCCCACCCTCCGTTGCACCATTATTGTTTATTTATGTA